GCGTCCCGAGACGGAGGAGCTGGTCGAGCTGGTGCTGGCGGACGTGGAGGGGCGGGCGAGGATGCTGGACGTCGGGACCGGGACCGGGTGTATCATGCTGGCCGCGCTCAAGGCGAGGCCGCGGTGGAGCGCGGTCGGGGTGGACGTGTCGGCGGAGGCGGTGGAGCTGTGTCGGGAGAATGTGACGCTGGTGGGGTGTGCGGATAGGGTGGAGGTGATTTTGGGAGACGTGCGGGAGGTAGAAGGAGGGGAGCGGTTTGATGTGCTGGTGTCCAACCCACCGTATATCCCGGAAAGGGATAGGGAGAGTGTGGATGCCGGGGTGCGGGAGCATGAGGACGGGCGGGCTTTGTTTGGGGGGTGGGACGGGATGGACGTGATCAGAGAAATATTGGAAGCAGCGCCGCGGTTGGTGAAGGAAGGGGGGAGTGTGTGGATGGAGGTCGACTCTAGTCACCCGGACAAGCTGGCAAAGCTCAAGCCTGCAGGGCTTGAGTTTGTGAGGCAGGTAAAAGACATGTATGGGAAGGCAAGGTTTTGTAAGTGGCGAGTTGGATAGTTTCTGACACGAACAAGTAAAGCAGAATGTTGTTTTACGATTAAACATACTCTTGCGAATAAGTCAGGAAGAAAGGACCGGGACATAGCTAATATGTACAACCAGACAGCGGAAATGTGGCAAAGCACAAAACACGAAGTGGAGTGTAGACTTGAGAAAAGTTGCAGTAAATGAATACTGAACCAAACGAAGCCAGGACCGGACTAGACAAACAAACGGCGGGAGGTCACAAAACAGAGATGTGGAGCAACCCAGGCGTAAAGACGAAGACACACGAACAAGAAGGCACCGACACAGGGACTCGAATGTGAAGACGAGGGCCGGACGGATACCACAAGAACAACTCAAACAAACAAAGGTCGTCTCGATTGACGGGGCGGGCTAGAAAGGGAAGCGGAGGAACGCGGCGGCCACACGGGTGACAAGAAAGCAACAGCAATAGCAACAGCAACGGCATGCGGTACCAGAGAAGATGCATGTCACGCGACACACGCAGGATCAAAAGCGACAAGACGGAGACCAGGTGTGACGCACAAAGAGGGAGGACAGGGGGAAGAGACACGAGCGGCACGGCAGCATGAGTCGGGCGGCAGCGATGAGCTTACCGACGGCTGGAGGAGGCGACGTCGACACGGACGGCGCGTCCATCAACCTCAGCACCGTTCATCGAGTCCCTGGCCTCAGCGGCCTGATCGGCGCTGTTGAAGGTCACAAAGCCGAAGCCACGGCTACGTCCGCTGTAGCGATCGATGATGACCTTGGCCTCGACGACGGTGCCGGAGCCCTTGTCAAAGGCCTCGTGGAGAGATTGGTCGTTGGTGCCCCAGGACAAGTTGCCGACGAACAGACGGTTACCTTCTTCGGCCATTATGAATACGAGACGGGAGGACGGGAGGACGAGGGCGAGGGGGACGAGGCGAGGAGGACGGGAGAAGGCGGGCGAAAGTTTGGGACGACGGCGGTGAGCAGTGATGTGGAATGAAGCGGTGGGGGGGGGGGGGGGGGGGGAAAAATGGGGGGGGGTAATCCGGGGGGTAAATTTC